AAAAAAAAAAAACCAAAAAAAAACAACAACAACAACAGACAAACACTTTTTTAAATTAAAATAATCGACACAACTGTCAAGGTCAACCTGAGATGAAAGGGATACACCGTCCTTGCAGATGAAAGCCTGAGAGAGTGGACGGAAATAATCCCCACACGAGAACCGAACTCCAGTCTCCTGCATGCTACAGCGGAGCGCCTAACTATTTTAGTTTTTGTAAGAGTTTTATGGCACTTGCAACACAATAAGGTCATATAAGAGCCGAAGATAAGAAGTGTTACAAGGGAGTAACAAACACAAAAAGAAGGAGGGGAGACAAGGACGACAGAATAGATGTTTGATAGAAAAGAAGGAGCAAACCACGCCAGAGCACCGCCAACCACCCACGGGAGCGCCTAACCGCTAATCCAATGACGCCGGTAGGGTCAACTGCAACTTTGGAAAAGAGGAATGCCGTACCAAAAAGGGGGGAAAATGATCGGGTGATCCTTCACTAAACAAAATGTCACAGACGTGCCTCCCGAGGTTGAGCGGCAGCAACATCGGAGAGCCAATGGGGCTGCATCACCGCAAAGCTCGTGTGAAACACACACACACACATACACATATACATACACACATACACACACACACATACACACATACACACACACATACATACACACACACACACGCACGCAAACACACAGCACCCACACACACACACACACATACATGCACACACACACATACACACACACACACATACACACCCACACACACATACACATACACACATACATACACACACACACACACACGCACACACACACACGCACGCAAACACACAGCACAAACACACACATACAGCGTAAACAAACACACACACGCACACACACACACACGCACACACACACACACACACACGCACACACACACACAACTTATCGGGAGTAACAAGACCACTATCGGAATTCGAGGGAGGGTTAACTTTTTGTTAAGGGAGACAAACCAGAGAGCACAGCAGGATCGGGCTTTGGTTTCACCACAGTAAGTAGTATGTAGCTAAGCAAAACAACGACACGTGCTATGAA